GCCAAGTTTTATGTTTTTTCCACCTTCTGAGCAATTTTTGCACCATTCATCGAGACTGTTTAATATATTATTGTGGATTTTTATGGAGAGGTATTACGTTCAGTATGTGCATGTATTTGCGCGTTACACCGCGCAATTTAGGGAAACAAGACAAATTTGTTTGAGAAAGTATACAGCTATACACATGTAACACAGTTTATGACATTCTTATGTATTATGGTGAAATAGTGGCCGCAAGCCCATTTTTCAGCTTGCTAAATTATTCATGGACAGTTGCTACATTCTGATGCTCAGCATTTCTGTAAAAATCTAGTCTTATTGCAAATCATCATTAAGAAGATATTTTGATTTATTATACCTCTCACATTCGTCTGAAAATCAACGGAAACATTTGAAGAATTCGCCAAGAGAAGACAGTCAATTTCTGACAAACTAATACTTGCTTCACAGATTTTATACATCATACATCATAAGAGCAGCATGTTACACCAGCACGTACATATATCTGCTGATGAATTTTCTCTCTGACCACAAATAGGTTAACTCAGTAACAAGTTACTCATATAGCTTAATACGACACTAAACTGCTATTTTCCATTCTATCTATTGTGTATCTACAACGCGTGATCCGCCATAACAGGGTGAATAGCTATGAAATGAAATTTGCTGAATTACCACCTGGGTGGCATGAAACAGAGCCAGTTTGACGTGGCCTGCATACACGTATATTTGTTCTTCTATCGGCATTCTACATGTGTTAGTTAGGGGTGTAAATGGTGGAATTTTATGATAAGGTTATCCCACGTTCTGTTTGTGCATGTATTTGCGCGTTACACCATGCAACCAGGGGAAAAAAGACAAGCATGTTTTATTTGTTTGAGAAATTATACAGTTATACACATGCGACACAGTTTATGACAGTCTTAGTATTATGGTGTAATAGTGGCAGCAAACCCATATTTCAGTTTGCTGAATTATTCATGGAACGTTGCTACAATCTTATGCTCAGCATTTCTGTAAAAATCTAGTCTTATCAGAAGTCATTTAAAGAAAATATTTTGATTTATTACATCTCTCAAAACCATATAAACGTCAAGATTTGAAGAATTTACGACGAGAAGACAGTCGATTTCTGACAAAGTGATACCTGTGTCACAGATATTATACATCATACAATATAAGAGCTGCATATTACACCAGCACGTAGCTGCTAATACATCTCACTGACCACAAATAGGTTAACCCAGTAACAGGTTACTCATATAGCTTAATACGACACTAAACTGGTATGTTCCATTTCATCTATTCTGCATCTACATGTACAGCGAAGATCGTGTTTTGCCATAACAGGGGAAATATTCATGAAATGAGATCTGCTAAATGACCACGAGGGTAGTATGAGGCAGAGCAAGTTTGATGTCACCTGTATACACATAGATTCCATCTAAAGTTATGGCTGCCGAAGATAATACTGACGTTAAGGGAATTGTGGAACTAACATATAATGTTGAAAAATGTGCTGACCATTAAATAAGTTACGGAAATAATGACGTCCACATGTACCTATCATTCATAGACCTTCAGGTAGAACATGTCATGGCAATTTGTCTTGGATAAATATATATTGACTTATCGATGAGATTGAGGATTACAGATGACAATGTGCTGTGTATACAGTTGGAATGCAATAGATGAAGAAACTGGTGTCGATCAGGAGACTGAAATTTAGGTTACGGTTACATTTTTGCTACTCAGAATTTCCGGGAAAAAGTAAAATGAAGGTGAGTTAATAGGATAGTGTAACTTACTTATCCCTAAAAATCAGAAAAATACACTGCATTCGCACATGAAAAATTCTGATGAATCTACCAGGTGAAAAAAAACAGTTTTCAGACCAACTCATCAGCTTCACAAGCGACGTCCAAATAGAAGCCAGCACAGGTAAATTTTTCCTTCATAAGATATATATGGTTTGGTAAGAAACGGAAACAAACAGTTTGTATTTATAATACTGTACCGTACAACAGATTGTCATAAAAAATAATGAAGGAAAGATAATATTTTGTTAAACTATTGAAATAAATGACCACGAGGAAGGGGTAAGGTATACCAAATTTGATATATTCTGAATGAATGTAAATACTAGCTTCTTAATTTATGATAAATGGACACGTTATTTTAATTGTATTTGAAAATATAAACGACAGTGGAAGTTATGACTTGGGATAGTGCAAATCAAGAGGGAGAAGACAGCTGTAGAAACACTGACAGAAAAAAAATTGATTGCTTATTTTGAAATTCTAAGTATAAAGAAATTTTTCTGGGTTATTTTATAAGTCCGTCACATTCTGGAACAATTTCACACATTAGCATCTGTCTGTGAAAATTACTAGGCGTCGGTTATATGCTCAGAGAGTGTACAGTGTCAAGACTGAAACCTCTTATATCGTTACAAAACAGGCAACATAGAGTAAACTAGGGTCAACAGGATCTGGAACTGGACAGTCCATGACAATTGGTCCTATATATTTTTTTTCTGATGAGTGTCGCTTTTGATGACAGACGGGTACGACCTCTGATGACAGACGGGTACGATGCTGGCGAACTGCTGGTTAAGCATTTAAACCACATGCACTGAATTTTCGAACCCGGAGCAGCATATTTATTATGGTGTGGGGCTGCATCAGCATCCATGGCGTAGGCAAATTGATAGTGGTTGATGGAAACATGAATCACTAGAAATATATCGATGTTTTGGAGTCGGGTTTGCTACCATCTATTACTAACATGTTTGGTGACAGGAATTATCCATTTGTTCACCAGGATGACAATGCTCCTTGTCACAGGCCCAGAGCAGTTGATGATTGGTTTGACCAACAGGGCAATCGCAGGGTGATGTGGCCTGCCCAGAGTCCGGATGCAAACATAATAGAAAATGTGTGGAATGATATGTCAAAACTTTTTACAAATGCCCGTCTAACCAGCAGAGAAACTCTGTTATATTCCGTGTTTCATGCTTGGGCCAGCATAAGCCCTGAACGCA